CTTGTTATTAGTATTGTTGAATTTGTGTAAAAAATAAGATTTAATAATCAAATTTAATTAGATATTTTAGAGTAAAATTCAATAAATACGCTCATTTAAAAAGCCCGCGCTACGATCCATTTAAAACAAGCCCTACTCAATAGATGGCGCCACTTCTGTAGGACCATTTTTCAGTATGGCAGAGTTAATTTCTTAAATAATCCTTATGTACTTTAATTCGAACATTTAAGGAAAAATCAAACGGCGCGGCGCGGCCTCTTTACTGACGGATATCAAAAACTATACTACCGATGGTACTTCTTTTATGCTTTACTCCTCCTTCTATCCTTACAAAATAGGGAAACACCAAAATACCTCATCCTTGAGTGCGCCAAGACGACAGTCATTCTTGCCATAAACGTTGGTACAACTGATATCGGAGATGGAGAACTAACCTCTATAAAACCGTGTCAAATCAATGACTAAAGAATCCAAGGACAAATAACACCCGACAGCAAATTGTGACGCTGGCATCAAACAGTGCCGTGGCACATATTTTTCTTAACCTAGCTGTTTGAAGCAATATTTATATTTTTTGATAATTGTTTTGACTACGCCTATGGTGTATCATCCTAACTAATTACGAAAAAACGTACTAAAATGTTAACAAAAATACAAAACTAGTATCGACGTATAGCACATATCAAGTACATATAGATGTTAATTGAAATTGAAGAATAATTATCGAATTCAATAAGAAAACGCTAAAAAGTTGGAGTGGACTGTTTATTTACCTATGAAACGTAACTCCTGGCTCTTTCTTCTCGCTGTGGCTTTTACACTTGAAAGCTAGACAATTCACCATTGTAACAAAGTTTATACAAAGTTCACTACACACAACAAACTATTAAAAATCGCTAAAATTGTCGCTGGTGACTGGATGATGACTCACTGTTTGGCATCAAACGAATGGCGTCTAACGTCACAAATTCTACTACAGCCCGTACAGGGGCGTTACATGTCCTTATATTCTTTAGTCATTGTGTCAAATACTGTCTTTGGTTAAAGCCCTGAAACTGTATAATGAGTTATAACTTAAGAAAGAGAGATATAATAGTCACAGTGATTAACATTCCCCCTCTCATACAATCTACAAATGAATAAAAGAAGAAATATTCTGAATACTTCTCTGGGAGAGCTACGGTCATACTAGGTATAATTATCTATGTTTCAGTATCTTATCTATATTTCACACTATCCTGCTAAACGATTGTTTCATCTCTGTGCCGAATTTTTGCCGCAAAGGGCTCCATCGATAAAAACCGTACGAAATTTATTGTTTGTTTGAAAGGCGAAGATTTTCGGTGCTAGTTTTTGTTGGTCCGTCACTAAAGAGGCCGCCGCCGTTTGATTTTTCTTGTTTGCCACGGGATTAGTTTCGGAATAAAATCCCTTCACAGTGGATATTATCAGGTTTTCGTCGTTATCTTTTCTGGTCAGGATTGATTAAAGTATATATATGTTTACCTCTAAATCACCGCCAAATATATAAAACCCTTTAGAGACTATTCTTGTGGTGATTAGGAAGGAATTTTTTCAAGTATCTTAGGCTGTTGGAGGATTCCCATTCCAGGTTACGGATGGAGTCTTCCAGGTCTTTGAGTTCCGCTTTAAGTTGGTTTCCACTTGGAAAGCAGAACGGTTTTGGTTAACTTCAATTCACTGAGGTCTGTATTGAGGGAACAGTGTCCTGTTAAAAATCCCATGACAATCCGGAGATTGTTCTTACTGAAATCAAGGAAAATCTTTGATTTTTCTCAGTCGTTAGTCCTGAGAAATTTCTTCGAGTGTCTTAGACCGTTGGAAGATCCCCATTCCATTTTAAGTTATAGAACATTTACAAACTGTTCCAATTCCACATACTTTAGGCTACTTGAAGGAATTACTGAACTCAAATGGTCTCGACAACAAAACTGTGACTGAATATATTAAGCTTACATCGTTATGTATGAAACAAAATTGTTTTCAATTTAATAACAACTTTTTTGAACAGCGGGAAGGTACAGCAATGGGTAATCCATTGTCTCCATTTTTGGCTAATTTATTCATGAGCAGGTTTGAAGTGGAGGCTAAGAATCAATTTGAGTATTTTCCAAGAGTATGGTTTAGGTATGTAGATGATATTTTTGATGTTTTTGACACACATTTAGACACCATAGATAATTTTATTTCTAAGTTAAATAATCGTTTTCCTTCCATTAAATTTACGCATGAAATTGAGAACAACGACAGATTACCTTTTCTAGATGTATTAGTTATTAGAAATGCTAATAATTGCCTGGAATTTGATATCTATAGGAAAAATGCGACCATACGCAGATATATTCCTAATGAATCACATCATAGTGTTGAGAGTGCGTGCGCAACGAAGTGATAAGAAGAAGAATGGATGCTCCGGACACGGTTGATAGAATAGAGAGAAGATCGCTGAAATGGTTTGGGCACCTCATGAGAATGTCAGATGATCGATGGCCAAAACGAGTCTTTCAATGGGTTCCGCCGCAACGAAGAAAACGAGGAAGACCACGACGATCCTGGAACGACGGAATAAGAGAATCCATGGAAGCTCGGCAATTAGAGGACGATGATGTCTTTGACAGACCAGCTTGGAGGTGGGAAACGGGAAGATTGCGTCAGCAGTAGGAGACTTACCCTAATGATTTGATTATTATTGTAATGGTTTCCACCCGTAATATATATATATTAGAAATAATAATAATACAGAAACTGTCCTCATATCAAGGTTTGTAGTTTAATATATTCAAAACATACCACATTTATTAAATTCAAAACTGAAGAGTTTTTGTTAGTTCAGCAGGTCACCACCCGCAGGTACTAAGGTCTCTGATTTCGAGTCTCGAAGTTAAAATTGAAGGTTTGGTGCAAATATTTTTATGAGTTACGCTATTATTTGGTGGTTTTGATTAATCATTTGTTTGCTAATGTATTCACCCAGTCACTGTTGAAAAATATTAGTATACTCAACAAGGCCCTTATTGTCACAAATTATTCACAGCATAAATCGAATCCATTAAATACATACACATGTTATATAATACAATGAAATAAATAAGGAAAAGCTCTAGCACAGACTATTACAATAGAAAAATAAAATATATGCTTTAGTTAACATTAATTAAATAATGACGAAACATTTACTTTACCTTTAATAAAAAATTTTGTAACAATAACCAAAACTTACAAACCCAAAATAACATCAATGCGTCTCGAACGGCTCTAAAAGCTATTACCTAACACCTGTCATCTCTGTTGGTTATCTGATTTCCCTCTCCCTAGTTTGTTTATAAATATTTTAAAAATCTATAAGTATTTATGTATACAGAGTGTCTTAAAACTAAATATTTTGAATTTAAAGGAAAAAATTAATTCACTGGCGATTTCATCGCTCGTGAATTAATTTTTTCGGTCGACGATAAAATACCATTTTATCGTCTTGTATTAAAAATAACTATTAACATTAGTCAATTTTATCTTTATATCATATCAGAATTTAAAATGTAAATCAGTGTAAAAACCTATCAATGCTGCTTTTCTTTCATAACAAAAAGAAAAGGTGTAGGTAGAGTAAGTGTTACCGTTTAGCAGCAAGAAGACTAAACAAAACAGGAGTAACGACCCGACTTGTACGTGATCTTTGCCGTTTTAAAACGAAGAAAAGAATTGAGGTCTGGAAATGAGAAACCGTATCTTATTACTTCCACAATTGCCTTTTGTAATCAGGTGAACCAGAAGTTCGAAACGATTCTGAAAAGTCTACGCTAAAAAATCGACTTCTTCGAAAGTATTGTCAATTTTCTTTAACAGGATACTACTATTCGTGTCACACAATATACAAGGTGTCTTTTGTGAAAGTATTTTAATTTTTTTTAAATTGCATCCCACATTTTTCTGTATAGAATTGGAATCAGGAAGAATTCTGCAATCAATCTGAAATATGATTAAAATCTGGAGGGAACTTCACTTATAATATATTAATACTTGGAAGAGGGGTATCAGTCAAGGGATAGAGATGATAGGTGTTAGGTAACAGCTTTTAGATTACCGTTCGAGACGCATTGATGTTATTTTGGATTTGAAAGTGTTGGTTATTGTTAGAAAGAATGTTATTAAAGGTAAAGTAAAATGTTTCTTCATTATTTAACTATAATGTTAACTAAAGTATATATTGTATTTTTCTAGAGCTTTTCCTTATTTATTTCATTGTATTTTATAACATGTGTAGTGTATGTATTTAATGGATTCGATTCATGCTGTAAATAATTTGTGACAATAAGGGCCTTGTTGAGTATACTAATATTTTTCGACAGTGACTGGGCGAATATCTTAGTAAATAAATGAGCAATCAAAACAACCAAAGAATATAATAACTCATAATCTAAACATATTTGCACCAAACCTTCAACTTTAGCTTCGAGACTCGAAACCAGAGAGCTTAACACCTGCCGGGGACCTGCTAAATTAACACAAACTTTTCAATTTTGAATGTAATAAATGTGACATGTTTTGATTATATTGATCTACAAACCTTGTATGAGGACATTTTCTCTATTATTATTACTTACTCTTTCATTAAAGTTCAGAACAGCATAGTTGGATTCTTTGGAATAGTGATCAAGGTTTTCTCTGCTGTGCTCTTTTACTTGTGAATTTCAGGCAGAGTACAGCACTCCTTTCAATTCATTTAATAACATAAGTAGGGCTATTTACAAATTTAGCGTTTGATTTACATAACCTATTCTCCCCAAATTCCTTTTTTTTTGTTTGTTATATAGTTGGGCAAAATATTACCTCTCCATCTTTATTGGACGACCCTGGTTTGTTCGGCCCTTTCAAGAGTAAATTTTTATCAGTCACCTACAACATTCCTTCGTCTTGTCTTATATTTGACTGATTTTTTAATATTTATAGATGTTTATAGTTGCATTTTCTTTTCTTTACAGAAGGATCTGAAGATGAAATAGAAATTACATCAGAACCAGATCTCATGGACAATAACATAGAACACCCACACAACTACACGAACAACAACTTCCAAAACTCAATTGAAATGGTACCCAAAAACACACATATCAGCGTCAAAATCGATCTGTACGAGAGTCCACACACTGACCATTTGAAATACGACCATTTCAAGAAGGCTGACGATTCAATCATGGACGAAGAGGATGACCTGATATACCTGGGAACCAGAAAAGTCATTTTGGCCAACGCGGTTTTGCCTGGGGAATTGGAATTCAGGAAAAATGGTGTTTATGCCAAGACGAATATTGGTAAAGGTACTAGGTTTGGACCTTTTCAAGGTAAATGGGCTGGTGTACCTCAGGATCCACGATTTGCTTGGGAGGTAAATTCATTTTAGCTTAAGTATGTATATATTATCCCTGTTTGGGTTTGATCGAGGGGTGTCTCGCTATTGGAATTATATATACGTTTTCTTGGCAATTGCTGGCAGTCGCTCGGCAGTAAACTATTTTGGTAGTACATGTACATTTTGTACCCAAGTGAAACACCTCTCGGGTTTGATTAAACATATTTTTGACAGATGCAATCAACACGAAATTCCTACTTCTAATTCCGTAGCTCTTACGATTTTTATATTCATATTCAGGGTTCTTCATGCAATTCGTTTATTATGTATATTATATTTTTTCTTTCTAATTTGTATGTAACTTCTTCTAGGTAGAGGAAATGACCATTTACTAATACGTATAAACAACTTTATGCAAAGCTTTATTTTTGTATAAGAAATCAACTAAAATTAAGAAAAAGTGATATTTTCATTTAAAAAATCGACTTTTTGTAGTTTTGTTAAAGTAATAATATTTGTAACTAATAATAAAATAACTAATAAATTTTTATGAGGACCCTGTATAATTTTTCATATATTATTATAAAAATTTAAGCAGAATCAAACATTCTCTAGAGGACAAGTAACATAAATTTATGAAAAATATGCTAAAAAATATTATTCAATTCGCATTTTCTCACACTGCAAAAGTCAATTTGGGGTAAAATAATTATAAATAACTTTATTACTGCCCTACTATTTACTTAGATAGACCAGCCGGGTATAGTTTTGTTCGTATATTTTTGTTTGTTGTTGATTTGTATATACAGGGTGAGTCTTAAATAAGTGCAAATATTTTCGGGGCTGGTAGATTTCGATAAAAGAAACATAGTTTCTCTTTACCGTTTTTCAAATATCTCCAATGTAAGCAAGTTATTTTACTTTGAAAGTTTAATAAAAAGAAATTATTTTTTGGTTAAATTTTGAGAACCACTGTGTTTTTTCTGGGTTTTATTTCTGAAAAATTTAATCTACTATTTATGTTGTCATATTATTTTTTAACTTGAAATAGTTAATTTGACTAAAAATTCAAAAAACGTTTTCAAAAAATTTAAAATTTTCAAAAAAAAATCGCGAAGAAACTCTTATAGACGTGTTTCTGGGGTCGAAATATAGCACTCTAAGATAACTAAAAATTTACAATTTTATTTAATTTCTAATTTGTGATATTATCTACTATCTGAAATTTGTAAAAAATTCAAGAATAACCTTTTGTTTTATTAAAAATTTCAAAATTTCTGAATTTATGGTGCCTCGGCAAATAAAAAAAGGTCAAGAGACCAGAAATCTTATTTAGGCATGACCCTCATATAACTTTACACATAAAATTACAGCGATATTCATTTCCAAGCTATCTCAGACGCCGTTTTTTTTTTCGATTATATTAAGACATATGTGACCAGAAAATTCGTTTATTTCCACGTAAACGAAAAAAAAGGTGATAATAAGGTTCTAATTTCACACCCCACTGCACGCGTATTAGGCTCCCTTATTTTAGTAAATAATGTACAAATAAAATTCTCACCCCATATATCTGTTGTGCTTAAAACCACCCCATGAATGTAGACCCGTAACTAGACCTCTCCATATCTGTTATTGCCGAGTGTTATTTTAGTAGTTTCAGTGTCTGAATCTTTGCAATATAAACCTTTTGAAAGGGATTTTTCTGTGAAATTGAAGTGTTTAGAACAGTATCGTTATATCTTTTAGTTGCGATGCTCAATGCCATGTGGATAGATTATTGTCATATGGTCTATTCATGCGTTGATGACGCTCTGTCTCAGTTATTCTTAACATTTAGTGACGGTTTTTCTTACATAAATATCAATTAAAAATTATCCTCCGATTGCGACAAAAAAAACAAATTGAACATGAGGGCACCTGAGTATGGAATAGTTACCTAAATATAGACTACTATGAAATAAAGACTTCGAACTAATGAAAACGTATATCAGATGTTTTATTAAACACATTCACACAAGAAAAGACCCTTAAAAGAATCAAATAAAAATGTAATCAATGCATTGTCATAAAATACAGTATTATTTGCAGTCACTTATCAAGAAATACTTACTGTCTGAGTATCATAAAAACGTTTCTCATAGTGTCAAACCAAACCAAACCTGCACGTGAGTATAATGACGGAAAGAGATTATCACTGTCTTTTACAATTAGCTGTATTCGTTTCCGAGAAATGACAGTAGTTCATGTTGGAGATACTATTCCTCTAACTTGGTTACTTTCCTCTAACTTAATATTTACTTTCCTTTACTTCATTGGAAAACTGTACACCCTGTGTACTGCCACAAATAAAATTAATCAACAATGCAGTCTCGCACTAATTATTCCATCCACCATTGTAGCAAACACTATATTTGCCGTTCTACGCAAACACATCACTTTCACACGTTCCACCCTTATATGTCCCGCACCTCTATACAAAGGGATGTAAATTTCTTGCACAAAACCCTAATTTTGCCGATAAAAGGGAAGATTTCGACAGTATTGTGAGCGGGTGCGACACCGAATATCCTCTAGCCGGGATTATATCGATCTCCGGTGTTGTATAGTTGTGATTTGAGGAAAAAAGGGGTTTTCGAATTCCGTACTGTCAATCACAGAGCGGCACCTGGTTTTGACAGATCTGGGGAAATATTCGGAGGAAAGATTCTAGATGAGATCGCATATTTCGTTTATATAATAAATGTTACAGTTAAAGTCGGAGATCCAGTAAATGTTGACAATTACTAGGATATGCTAACAATTCCACTCTGTTTTTTTTTTCTCAGGTAAGATTTCGACAGACGATGACAGAAAAAAAGCAGATGACGTCCATACCAATCCATTTATTTAACTAAAAAAAACTAAATTTTTTTAAGTTAACTAGGGATGGGTTTATAAATAAATCCGTCATGCGTCATCTCTTGTTGTTTTTAACCAATTTTATTGGTTTATTTCAAAAATGACAGATCATATTTCAATATTATTGGTTTGACGGAAAGATGAATGACAAACGAACGCCGATGCGTGTGAACTCGTCTTAACATTTTTAAGAGTTGTCAAACTCTTGCCAAATTATAGGTTATAATTTTGTATCAAATTATCTCAAATAGAAATGATAAATATTTTGCATTTTGGACTGAGTTATTACGTGTGTTTCGTGTTTTTTTAAATTAAGTGGATGAAGGTTCGCGGGAAAATTAAGTGTTGACCCAAGACCATAGTTTACAGTTAATATTCGGTGTCCAGAGTAAACATTTTTAAAATTACAAGAATACGATAATAAAACAGAAGTACCAAAATCAAAATATTTGCATTTATACTTAACCACAAAAAGTGTCAAGCAACGAACCTCTACTGGGTAACTGAAAATCAAATGATACAAAGTTGCACACTTTATATTGCTTTGGTTTCAAACTTTGGTTTTCTTGATTTTTTTTTAAATTTTAATGCAGACTGGATTGCTTTGAATGACTTAATTTTAAAATTGAATATTTCACATCAGATTTTTAGTCAGCTACTGTATCAATAGACTCTTCGTCAGAAGCGAGACAAAAAAATGCAAAAATGCAAGCATTCACTAGTATTTTTTTTTCAAAATTATTTATTGATCTTTTACTGCGGTAGAGTTAGTAAATCGGTGAATGTAAACTTTTACTAGTAATTGTTAACATACACTGATGATGATTTTACTGTAAATTACAGTTGGGGTTTGAAACCTTTGGTGTTAAAACAGCAAAATAAAAACACTAATTTTCGGTGGAGTACGCCAAAACACTTTACTTTTACTATTGGACACGCGTTTCGCTAACCATGCTTAGCGAAATGCGCATCTAGTGTTAAAAGGAAAGTGTTTTGGGGTATTATGGTAAAATAGTGTTTTTTTTTGTTTTTGCACTTATTTAAGACTCACCCTGTAATATACAGGGTGAGTCTTAAATAAGTGCAAATATTTTCAGTGATGGTAGAGTTCGATAAAAGAAACATATTTTCTCTTTGGCGTTTTTGAAATAAATCCAAAATAACCGAGTTATTTTACTTTGAAAATTTCCAAAAAAATGATTTTTGCTTAAATTTTGAGAACCACTGCATCCTTTCTGGATTGTCTTTCTTGTAAATTTAATCTACTACTTATGTTGCCATATTATCAAGAAATTATGGTTTTAACTAACAACAAAATCTCAAAAAACTTTTCAAAAACCTCATAATCATGTTTCAGGGTTCGAAATATATTATCCCTAAAAATATTTGCACTTATTTAATACTCACCCTGTATATATAACTGAGACAAAGTCTATGTCATTGTGGATGTTCGGCGCACTCAGTGATGAGGTGTTCTGGTGTTTCCCCAAATTCCCCACAGAATCTGCATTCGCACTTGTTTCTCAGCTGCAGCCTACTGAGGACTTCGTTGAGGTGTCCTGTTAGAAACCCCGTGACAATCCGAAGATTGTTTTTACTTAAATCAAGGAAAACCTTTGATTTTTCTCGGTCGTAGGTTCTGAGGAACTTTTTCGAGTGTCTTAGACCGTTGGAGGATACCCATTCCAAGTTGCGGTTGGAGTCTTCCAGATTCTTCAGTTCCGCTTTCAGTTGGTTTCCGCTTGGAAAACAGAACGGTTCTCGTCCAGTTAGTGGAGTGTTCGCTCTTTTCCTAGCTAGATCATTTGCTTTTTCATTGCCTTCTATCCCTTGGTGAGCAGGCACCCAGAGTAGGAGGACTTTATTTTCTTTGCCCAACTTGTTGAGCTTCTCTAGGCATTCTTTGACCAACTTCGAATTGATGGTTACTGAGTTGATCGCGTTTAGTGCTGCTTGACTGTCGGATAGGATGGCAATTTCCTGTTTTCGATAGTTCCTTATCTAAGATAAATTGTACACATCTTTCGATAGCGTAAATTTCTGCCTGAAGGATACTGGGGTAGGTGCCCATTGGTTCGGAGTATTTGGTTTTCGGCCCAAATACTCCTATCCCTGTCCCTGCTTTGGTTTTGGAA